TTTATTTATATAATTTTGGGATCACTGAAGATAAATATCAAATAAAAACCACACCCTACAGTTTTTTTTTGTGTGTGTGAGGAGATCAGCCCTGTGCTAACATCCGCCAATCCTCCTCTTTTTTTGCTGAGGAAGACGGCCCTGGGCTAACATCTGTGCCCATCTTCCTCCACTTTATATGGGACGCCACCACAGCATGGGTTGCCAAGCATTGGGTCGGTGTGCGCCCGGGATCCGAACCAGCGAACCCCGGGCCGCCGCGGCGGAGCGCGCGCACTCAACCGCTTGCGCCACCGGGCCGGCCCCAATTTAATGCTTTTAAAATATATTAACTGCCCAAAAGTCCATGCTACAATTTAAATAGTATTATAATTCACAGTTGGCATTTTTGACGTACCCACTTACCTCTTTTTTGTCTTTGAACTTATCAATTTCTTTTTTCAGAAGCTCCACTCTTTGAAAGGATTCAAGGTTATTCACACTGTACACAAGAACAAAGCCATCGGCAAATGAAAAATAATGCTTTGGCAGCTCCACACCTTCCTGTAGGCCTCTGGTATCATAAAGATGTAACTGTTCCTTTACTCCCCGATCCGTTTCTACTGAAGCCATATACACATCTTCCATTGTTTCACAATCTTCCATTCCTGAGATTAAAAAGAAATTACTTTTATATATACAAACATCGAATCTTTATATTGTACACCTGAAAGCATACAATGTTATGTCAATTATACCTCAAGAAAAAAAGAAATTACTCTTTTTGGAAAACTCAGTACCAATTGTTGAGTATTTTCTTATCCTTTAGAAGTTGGCTTTCTAGGTGCCCTATTTACTACATATAAGAATCATATTTCCATTTACTAACTTCTTTAAAATGAAAGGTAGTTATAGTAAATGACCAACCTCCTTTTTAAAAATATTTCTTCTGAATAGAAATAAAAATTTGGCAATGAGATTTACTATTACATATTTTTAAAAAGTAACTGTTAGAAGAGTCAAAGAACTTTATGCCTAAATTGGAGAATTAAAGGCTGATTTTAAAAGTAGCTTCAACAACTAAGTGGCCCCATTTTCTTCTCCATCAGAGCCAAGGACAAGACCCGGGGTAAATTTGCTGCTCTTCTTCTGTACAACTTCCACTACTTCCATGGGCTGGTTAAGGGACTCAAAAATGTACATGTCTAGTCTGGGCCTGAGCACCATGCCTTAATTCCCAAGTACCTACTTGGCACTTGTCTGTGAATGTCCTGCAAGTACTTCAAACTAGCAAAACTTGTTATCTTTCCTCCCCACACCTGTTCCTCCTCCTTGCTTTCTTCCCTTCATCACCATCCACCTGGGCAGTCTTCAGAGTTCTCTTTGAACAGGGAAAATGTGGCTGAATGTTATAAATCACCCACTCTACTGCTGAAACATCTGCTCAGTCCATTGCCTCCTTCCATTCCCATTGGCTTATCTTCACCTGAACTAAGGCAGTAGCTCAGTAACACCTGGTAAACAAATATCCTTTCCAGACTCTTCTGAAATGTCAACTCTGTGGATCCTCTCCTGATTATCCCCTTCCCTCCTTTCTGCTCCTATTGTGCCTTGTACAGGTAATACCATTTTATACTTAAATCTTTCATATATGTCCCCTCCAAAGCTGGAGTATAAAGTCTTTGAGAGCCAGGACTGTGGCTAATCTATCTTTATAGCTCTGAGGACTAATAAATTGACTTACATACATAGAAAGTCTTTAGTAAATGTTTGCTGAATCAATGAATGAGGTAAGCTCATAATTGATGTCCCAATTTCAGTCCCCTTCTTGCCTGAGTGATCCTTTCAAAATGCATTTTAGTTTGCTCCATTTGTGCAGGTTTTGTCTCTTCAACTAGTCTATAACTTCTTTGAGAGAAAAGAACCAGTCTGTGTACACAGCAAGTATTCAATAGTCATTTGTTGATAAGGGGATTAAGGGGAGAAGATTAACACTTTGAATTTTTTTTTTTTTTTAAAATTTTTTTTTTTTTTTTTTTTTGTGAGGAAGATGAGCCCTGAGCTAACATCCATGCTAATCCTCCTCTTTTTGCTGAGGAAGACTGGCTCTGAGCTAACATCTATTGCTAATCCTCCTTTTTTGTTTCCCCCCCAAAGCCCCAGTAGATAGTTGTACGTCATAGTTGCACATCCTTCTAGTTGCTGTATGTGGGATGCGGCCTCAGCATGGCCGGAGAAGTGGTGCGTCGGTGCGCGCCCGGGATCCCGAACCCAGGCTGCCAGTAGCGGAGCGCGCGCACTTAACCGCAAAGCCACGGGGCCAGCCCAACACTTTGAATTTTAATGAGTAGTGGAGAGGCATATGATAAGAAAGGTATGGTACGGTCCCTGTAACCACTTTCATATTTAGATATGAGCTATATCCGGAGGTAAAATCACATGAATAACATCCTATACCAATAAAACATACTATATTATAGGTTTTTGAAAACTCTTGCCGTAGTTTTAAACAACCTAAATACTGTAGAATGACTTGTTACAGGTGCCGTACATGAAATGTCTGTATTAAATAAAATCTCCATAAAGTATTAAAAGGAATAATCATGTAATGATAAATAGATTGGATCATGAGAAACCAAAAATTTACTTTTATCTGCATAATTCTTTACATTAAGGAATGTGTTCAATGTTTGGTAAGGGAAAATTATTCGTAGGTTCGAGTATATGTATCATCCTGTGATATATTAAGCTACCTTATGGAAATTAAACGTTATTCTATTAAGATACAAACTTACTGGGCTTTGATTACAAAACAATTTAAAGGCAAAACTACCAAGACTTTTGTCATGGTGGATGTTTTATCCAGCAAACGCTAGGCTGGTTCCCCTCCTCTTCCCATTAAGCTTAGACCTTTTGAGATTTTGTTACTCTATAAATCAACTGAAGTCATGACTCTTCCATCAGCTCTCTAGATCTCCTCTCCCACTCCATGCTGTTGGGTAACTACCACTCCCCCATAGCTGCAGAAGACTAAGGGTGCAATCTCAGGGTAAAATAGAGGATGCTTGGACTGTGGGATAGAGGGTAGGAGTTCCATAGTGAAAATAGGGGGCAATTAAGTGTCAAGCTCCCTCTGTTGCCAAACTGTCGACAGCCAGGTCTTTATCCTCTGGGCAGAGGAATTTGGGGAATCTGGCCAGCAAAAAAGGAAAAATCCTAAATATGCTAACATCTGTGGTTCCCCAACAAATGCCCCACCCAGATCACCTTATAGTGAAGCTCAAAGTCATGAACCCTATCCACATGCTTAGAGCTTTCGATTAGCTTTTTTTTTTTTGGTGAGGAAGATTGGCCCTGAGCTAACATCTGTTGCCAATCTTCCTCTTTCTGCTTGAAGAAGATTGTCCCTGAGCTAACATCAGTGCCAATCTTCCTCTATTTTGTATGTGAGATGCCACCACAGCATGGCTTGATGAGTGGTGGCTAGGTCCGTGCTCAGGATCTGAACCCACGAACCTGGGGCCACCAAAGCAGAGCGCATGAACTTAACCCCTATTCCACCAAGCCAGCCCCATCAATTAGCTTTTTAGTTCTCCACTCTTAATTATGAGCAGACAACCAAGGATTACCAGGTACCTGAGGAAAAGAGAGACCAAAAATCAGAAAAGAGCACCTTAGAGGAAAAAGCCTTCAAAGAAAAGAAAACAAACAAAAAAACTACTCAATATTATACTCAAAGAGATGAGATAGTGCATCCATGAAACAAGAAGAGGATACTAAGAAATGAAAACTCAGTAGAAGGGCTGGAAAATAAAGATGAAGAAAACTCCCAAAAAGTGGAACAAAATATTGTGGGAAAATAGTAGAGGAGAAATACAAAATTAGAGGACTAGTTCAGAAGGTCTAGCATCCAAAAAGAGAGTTCCAGAAAGAGAGAACAGAGAACAAAAAAGAAGGAAAGCATCAACAAAATAATTCAGAATTGAAGACACATATTTCCATATTGAAAAGGCCCACCACTGAGTGCTCAGTACCATGGATGAAAACAGACTAATTCTATGATACACCACTATGAAATTTCAGAACACTGGGGACAAAGAAGAGAGCCTGCAAAAGCTTCCACACCCAAAGCATCAAGAATCATAATGGTTCCCAGCTTCTCAAAAGCAACACTAGAAGCAAGAAGATAATAGAATCTGGTAAAACTGAAGATACACATCCTCTATGAACCAGCAATTTCACTCCTAGATACATATCCCAGAACTCGCCCACATAATAGCTAGGACACATGTAGAAGACTGTTCATTGCAGCATTATTTCTAATAGCCCCAAACTGGAAACAACCCTAAATGTTTATCAAGATAGGAGAGAGAAATAAATTGAGGTGTATTCATACAATAGAATACTATAAGGCAATGAAAATTAAACCACAGCTACCTACAACAATATGGATGAATCTTACAGATACAATGTTGAGTGAAAGAAGTCAGACACTGAAGAATTTATATAGTATTATTCCATTGATATAAAGTCAGTAACAGGCAAAAATGAACTATATCCTTTAGTGATACATACATAGGTGGCAAAACTATAAAGAAAAAGAACTGATTAACCAAAAGTCAAGGGAAAGGCTAAGTTGTGATTGGAGGGAGGATCATGGGGAGCTACTAGAGTGCCCTCAGTGTTCTACTTTTTGACCTGTGTGGAGATTATGCAAAGGTTTGTTTTATAATTATTCATTAAACCATGTATGTGCTTTATGCACTTTTATATACATATGATGCATTTTATAATAAAGGAGCAAAGATGATAATGGAGCAATGCTTTCAAAAGACTGAAAAGAAATTATTGTCAACCTAGAATTCTATAGTCAAAATTATAATTCAATTGTGAGTGTAAAATAAAGACATTTTCAAACATGTGAAGCCTGAAAAAATGTATCATGTACATTTTCTCAGCAAACTATTTGAGGAGGCCCTCCATCAAAATTACCATGTAGGGGCCAGCCCAATGGCATAGTGGTTAAGTTCACATGCTGTGCTTTGGCAGCCCAGCATTCGCAGGTTCAGATCCTGGGCTTGGACCCATACACCGCTCATCAAGCCATGCTGTTCAAGTGTCCCACATACAAAGTACAGGAAGACTGGCACAGATGTTAGCTCAGGGCCAATCTTCCTCACCAAAAAAAAAAAAAAAAAATTAGCATGTAATCATAGAAAGAGGAAGACATCAGATCCAGAAAACAGAACCTAACAGAGGAGTAAAGGGAATCACAGGGACAACAGTAAATATCTCTATTCAGAAGCCCCAGGATTACTACTCTGCGCCAGGCATAGAGGGGATTTTGAGGACTATCATCACCCAATACCCCATTCCATTGTAGAACGTTTTCAACCCCAAAAAAGTACAGTCATGAGCTGCATAATAACGTTTTGGTCAACAATGGACCACATATACAACGGTGGTCCCATAAGCATAGTACCATATAGCCTAGGTGTGAAGTAGGCTATACCATCTCAGTCTGTTAAGTATACTCTATAATGTTCACACAATGACGAAACTGCCTAATCACACATTTCTCAGAACATATTCCCGCTGTTAAACGATGCTTGACTATACTGGAAGATATGCTCCACCAAAAGAAGGGTGTAAACTAAAAGATGACAAGAGATCTAGGAAACAGTAAATCGAACGTAGGAAGAAAGAAAGGTAAAGGGAAGTTGCATGGTGATAGCTGTGCAACAGGCCTACATAAGAGGACTGCTTGCTCCTGGAAGGGTATCTCCAAGCAAAAAAGAAAAAAGGATTAACTGATACAGTGGACCTCACAGAAAACTGAGAAACATCTGGGCATGTGGAAGAATTAGCCAACGGTATAAACAAACTAAAGAAATGACAAATAAAGCAAATATTAGCCTCCACAAAAACAAAAAGAAGAAAAGAAACAATTATAGTACACAATAATGCTCAGTTGAGAATATTTACATGTGCCAGTAGCTCTCAAAGTGTGGTCTACAGATCCCTCGAGGTCTCCTTTCAGGGAATCCACGAGGGCAAAACTATTTTTTTAATAATACTAAGACATTTGTCTTTTCCACTGTGTTGACATTTGTACTGATGATGCACAAGCAACGCTGGGTAAAGCTGCTGGCGCCTCAGTACAAATGAAGGCAGTGGCACCAACTGTATTAGTTGTGTTCTTCACCATCTCATACCTGGTTAAAAAAAGAAGCCAGTTTCACTTAAGAAATGTCCTCGATGAAGCAGCAAAAATAAAAATTACTAATTTTATTAAATCTCAATCCTTGAGTATACATCTTTATATCTTTTTAATATTCTATGTGATTAATGGGAAGTATGCATAAAGTATTTCTGCATAATGAATTATGGTAATTGTCTGGAGGAAAAGCTCTTGTGTTTGAGTTGCAAGCTGAACTAGCCACTTTTTTCAATAAGAAATGACAGAAAAACATGATTATTCAGGGTATTTGACAGACATTTTCTCAAAAACTAATAAAGGGAACCTACCATTTCAAGGAAAATAACTGACAGTATTTGTTGTCAATGATAAAATTTGAGCTTTCAAGCGAAAAACAGAATTGTATCCATCACCATTAACTTGAAAGCTTCCCAAGACTGAAGAGATTGATAATGATATTAATAACTGTTATTTGGAAGAGCTGCTTATCTCAGTAAACCAGTATTTTCCAAATGACCAATTCATGATGTTAAAAAACCATAGTTGGGTAAAAAACCCATTTAAAGTGCAAGATAGATCAATGAGATTTTAATGTACTAGAGTAGGAAAAGTTTACTGACGTGGTTTCAGATTCTACATTGCAATAACCTTTAAGTAACCATCACTTGTTGAGTCTTAGTGAAACACCAAAGAAGAATATTCACAATTATCTGGAAAGGCTATTAACATACTCCTATCTCTTCCAACTACATATCTGTGTAAGGCCAGATTTTCTTCGTATGTTTCAACTAAAACAACATATCACAACAGATTGAATATAAAAGCAAGTGGGCATGATAATCCAGCTGCCTTCTATTAAGCTGGATATTAGATTTTCAAAAATGTAAACCAATGCTCATCTTCTCACTAAATTTTTGATAATTATTTTTCATAAGAATGTTATCTTACCATGTAATAAGTTTATTGAGATTATTTTAAGTAACAAGTATTCTTTGAATTTCTCAGTTTCAATTTCTAATACAATAAAAATGTCAAAAGATATAGCCAACATAAACAAAAGCTGTTTGGGGTTTTAAGTGGGTAAAAGGATTTTTCCCCTCACCCCCAGCGTAATTTATTTTTTGCATAGGCATAAATTAGAATCTGGAGGTAAAAAATTAAGAACTGATAGTGCAGCATTTGTGATAGGAGGGATTCTGAAACCAAAAAGTTTGAGAACTTCTGGCACAGGCATCATAATAAAAACCAAATGTGGATTTAATCAAAATTGTTAAATATTATGTTGGGAAGGTAGATGAGAAGCAGAGCTCATCAAAATGGTTAATAAGGGGCCAGCCCCGTGTCTTAGCAGTTAAGTGCGCGCGCTCCACTACTGGCGGCCGGGTTCGGATCCCGGGCGTGCACCGACGCACCGCTTCTCCGGCCATGCTGAAGCCGTGTCCCACATACAGCAACTAGAAGGATGTGCAACTATGACGTACAACTATCTACTAGGGCTTTGGGGAACAAAAAAAAAGGAGGAGGATTGGCAATAGATGTTAGCTCAGAGCCAGTCTTCCTCAGCAAAAAGAGGAGGATTATCATGGATGTTAGCTCAGGGCTGATCTTCCTCACACACACAAAAAAAAAGGTTCATAAAAGTAAGATAGAAATGTGCTCTAAGCTACTTACCAGAGATAAATACTTCAAAGATCTATGTTTCTACTTATCTCTCTAATCTCTAACACAAACCTCATTTTATTCTAACCTGTAATGTCTGTCTTCCTTACTAAACCACGACCTCCTTAAAGCCCGAGATGCTGTCGTCTTCCCCTCTGTATCCTCACAAGGCCTCATCACAGCCTTTATCATATAGCAAGAATTTAATAATTGTTTAACTCAATGAATGAATAAAGGAATGAGATAATCCAATTCACAAAATTAGGTCACACTGCAGCAAATAGCTGTTTCTTCCATTTTTAAAACCTATACAGCAGAACTGGAAAGTTATGTTTGAAATAAGAATGAGAGATCATTTGGTATATACTTAAGTGACTGATTGTACGACTCTAAGACCACTATTCATTATGTAAATATACTGGAAACAACATATATACAAAGGAGATATATATATACATTTGTTTTCTTAACTGTTATAACTTACAGCAAGCCCTCTTGAATTTCAATAACATAAAAAGATTTTTCCCCCCTCAATTTCTGTTGACTTCTATGACCCTTTTGGTCCCTGTGGATTACACCCCACTTTTGTGTACCAGCACAGACCCCTAACAGTTCCCAGAACCTACAGAGAAACTAGAGAAAAATAATCTTACCAATAGTATGATTCCCATAAAGGAGCTGCTCCAAAATTGCTGTTTTCCCCACAGATAACAAGCCACAAACCACAACCTTGCAGCCCTTTCCCATCTTCTCTCAGGATATCACTGTGAAGAGAATAGAAGATCTTTAAAATTGTATACCGTTGAAATCAACCTTTTCTTTCTTTCTAAGTTTAAATTTAATAAGTAATACATACACGGGGGGTGAATTTCAAATATAAAGAAACATATACAGAATAAGGTATATCCTTCCAAACTCCTAGTCTCCCATTTTCTCCCTTAGAGTAATCAGTGTTACCACTGTCTTATATCGTTGCAGAGGTAATCTAGATAAACGTGAGACTACATGTATAGATATGAATACATGTTTGTTTTCAAAAATAATAAATACATTTTATACAAAGAATATTTCAATACTAATTAAGTCTATAGGAATCCAAATAGAATCCTAGATGAAACCAATCCTTGAAAGAGACTGCCTGCTCATCAATATTTACTTGGAAAAATAAACATTGAAGTAAAACTTTAAGGAGGCATGAAGATAAAAATTTGGATATAGCATGGACATGATTTTTTAAAGAAACATTAATGCTACTAATGCATTAATATTAGTATCAGTCTTTTCTGATACTAATTATTAGTAATAATGTCAGTCCTGTCTCAAGAGAGTGAGAAATTGGATTTTGGTAGCCACATGGGCTCTCTTAGTCATACTTTTTTTTTTTTTTTTTTTTTTGGTGAGGAAGATCAGCCCTAAGCTAACATCCATGCCAATCCTCCTCTTTTAGCTGAGGAAGACCGGCCCTAAGCTAACATCTATTGCCAATCCTCCTCCTTTTTTCCCCTTTTTCTCCCCAAAGCCCCAGTAGACAGTTGTATGTCATAGTTGCACATCCTTCTAGTTGCTGTATGTGGGACGCTGCCTCAGCATGGCTGGACAAGTGGTGCATTGGTGTGTGCCTAGAATCCGAACCCAGGCCGCCAGTAGTGGAGTGCGCGCACTTAACCACTAAGCCACGGGGCCAGCCCCAGAGTCATATTTCTTAATGCTAGAAAATTTGCTCAGGCACTTTATACTAGTAAGAAAAGGAAAACTCATCTCTCCTAGCTTCCTAAAATATCCAAGGAAGAGCAAGATCAGGTAACATTTTCTCCAATTTTCCTCGAAGCTTTTATTTTCCAGAAGGCAATGTAACAGAAGCAAAGGTGAAATGAAAAAACGCTCACCAAATACAGGAAAATAACCTGATAAGAGAATTTACATTTCCACATTGCCTTTGCTGTCTCCCACCACCTCCTTATTTCCCCCAATTCTCTTCTTTCTCATCTGGAAGTATAGAATATGCAGTAACTGTGACTAAAAGGGATACCACAATTCCTTGAAGTCAGAAAATAAGTACAATAAGAAAGTTCAAATAAGCATTCAGATAAAAGGAACACCGGGTATCTTTCTGTGCATGCATGTGTGTTGTACATCACTATTGGTTTATTTGTTTTCTTACCAACACTGAAAACATGAAGCAACAAATGAACTCCCCGTAAGTCTTCTCTATTTTCTCAAAGTCTGTAATTTTTTATGACCCAAATCAGCCACAACACTAATCTGCTAACAGGAAAAATTTAAATGCTAACAATATTGTAGTGCAGTAATAACACAGCACTCTTTCTCAGAGCAGTACACTACATTTTACCACTAAAGAAATAATCGTCACTTATGTGATACAACCATTATTACCTGGGTGGCGTGCTTGGCATCTTTCTAAATCTTATCAGGAATATTTATCACTTGCTTCCAGGAGAACCACTTCTCTTAGGGGACTTGTTTTTCTTTATATTTTCAGCTTAACTGCAATAGAAAAATTCTCAGCCTTTATTTATAAGGGCAGAGCTTTGTGAACATTGATCATCTATGGTATGGTATCTCCTATGTCAGCAACTATGGCTTGTTTTAAAAGGTTTTCTACACATACCTCTGAATTTATGATTAATTTAATGTCATCTCATTTATCATAGGATTCTATTCTCTGCATATTGTGGTGTCCTATAAGTTATGACACCACTGAATCTTTCTTTCAAAGGGTTTTTAGTGATAATAGTTAAAATTTAAAGGAAGTTGCCACCTAACCACATGAGAAGAGGATGAAAAAGAAATAAATCTGCCAAAGGATAAGAAAAATGATGGCAGCAAAGAACAACTCTGTTGGTCACAAAAGGTTGCTGCTGGAATCTAAATTCTGATTTTTCTATTGTTATTTCTCTTCCTCTGAAAATGTCTCAGCCCCAGTAGAATTTATAAATACCAATCCTTACCTCCTCTCTCCTTTTTGTTCAATCAAAAAAATATCCCTTGGGCTGGCCCGGTGGCGTAACAGTTTAAGTGCGCGTGCTCTGCTTCGGTGGCCCGGGGTTCCCGGGTTCAGATCCCAGGCGCACACTGACGCACCGTTTGTCAAGCCATGCTGTCGCGGTGTCTCATATAAAGTGGAGGAAGATGGGCACAGATGTTAGCCCAGGGCCAATCTTCCTCAGCAAAAAAGAGGAAGATTGGCATCAGATGTTAGCTCAGGGCTGAACTTCCTCACACACACAAAAAGTCCGTTTACCACACATTACACTAGCCTTCAAGAAAACTCAAGTGCTTTAAAGGGGCGGGTACATACTATACTTCAGTGAAGCAGGCAGTTTTTAAGGAAAAAAACAAACTCAATGATTAACAGCAATAGACCCTCTATAAAAGGGAGGCAACTATGAGTGCTGGGGACTGCAGCAAACTTGAAAAATGCTGAAACCACTAGAATCCGGAGAAATTCAGAAATCAAATATTCCAGAGAGTCTTTGGAAGTAGTCTTAATACATCTGCTTTAAAAGTGGTATACTACAATTGTACTCAATAACTCATTGATATTAGGATGGGCAGATACAGTTTGTTAAAAATATGTATTACTTTATATTTGTGTGTGTGTATAAATAAATAAATTGGGGGGTTTATTTTGATATATCAGAGAAGTTTCCATCAAGGGCAAACAGTAAAAGTAACTGAATAGAGGTAACACAAACACTAGGTAAGGATTTTAAGGTTTTTTAGGAAGGAAAGAGAAGGGATAAGATAAGACAGAATTGGCCATGTTAAATATTTTACACCATCAAAAAGAAAACACAGGGGCCGACCCTGTGGCGTAGCGGTTAAGTGTGTGCGCTCCAGTGCTGGTAGCCCAGGTTCGGATCCCGGGCACAGACCGATGCACCGCTTGTCAGGCCATGCTGTGGCAGCATCCCATATCAAGTGGAGGAAGATGAGCACAGATGTTAGCCCAGGGCCAGTCTTCCTCAGCAAAAAAAAAAAAAAAAAAATAATAATAAAAAAAAGAAAACACAGATGAAAGGATAAGTGTGATTAATCAAAGCATAACTGAAACATTCCAGGTTCCTAGTTCTCTTCAAGTGGGAAACAATACTACTACAGGGCCGGCCCTGTGGCTTAGCGGTTAAGTGCGCGTGCTCTGCTACTGGCAGCCCGGGTTCGGATCCCAGGCGCACACCGACGCACCGCTTCTCTGGCCATGCTGAGGCCGCGTCCCACATACAGCAACTAGAAGGCTGTGCAACTATGACATACAACTATCTACTGGGGCTTTGGGGGAAAATAAATAAATAAATAAATAAATAAAACACTACTACTACATATAAAGCTGAAGATTAGTGACCTGCCACCATCAATTAAAAAGTTTGAATTCTTTAAAAAATTAATATCTAATGTAAGATTTTGAATGAATTACATTAAATACACATACAAAAATAACTTTATTTTCCAAATATGATCATGATGGCGGGGACTCACATTACACATAAGGAAGTGGTTCTTATGCTTATTTATACTCAGATTTATAAATAAAAACTTAGTTCTATAAGCATTATAATATTCCATGATTCCCAAACAGAATAAATATGCGCCATTTCCTTCCAAGTACAAAAAGGAGGCCATCTGCAGTATCTGAACAGGCACTGAATCACATGAATAGATCCTGGAGGTCGCCAAGCCTCTTATATAAATCTAGGTTTCAAGAGTTTGAAAGGCTCCAGAGTAGATGAAGGACCTCTAAGGTTCCTTCTAACACTGTGATACTATGAGAAAAGAAACTGCTTACCCAGAAACTGCATCAACACTGAGGTTGACACAAAAAGCAGCAGTCAGAGTTACTTATTATAGTCCCTACCCTAAGAAACTGCTGGACAATAAAATTCAATCTGTGACCTATTAATCCTCATCTATGTAAACGACTAAGAGAAAGGTGCTTAACAGGCAAAATCCAATGCAGTCTTAAATACATATTGCTTTGCTTTCCAAACCAATAGTGTTGCTCGAGAATAAAAACATGACCTGGTCAATATTCTCTTTGAAGAGCCATCAGAAACAGCTTCCCCAAATTGTCAGTACTTCTGTTCTTCTAGCTAAAGAAATTATTCTACTTTTACAGGACACAACTTTTTTATGCAACCACAAAAATATTAATACTGAGATACTGTTAACATCATAGAGAGATGTTATAGACAGATCTTATTATGTAAGCATCACATGGGAAAAACTTCTACACTGTGTAGTTATTTATGCAAACATCATGTATGGTGTGCAATACTTCTACTTATCCGTATATGAATACATGTTACTTAAATAAACACACATTAAAAGGCTTTTGCAAACAATATTGAACACAATAAAATATAATAAGCTGATTCTGGATTACCATTCTTTTTTTTTTTCTTGGTGAGGAAGATTGGCTCTGAGCTAACATCTGTGCCCATCTTCCTCTATTTTGTATATGGGATGCTGCCACACATGGCTTGAGTAGCAATGCATAGGTCTGCGCCCAGGATTCAAACCTGCGAACCCCAGGCCACTGAAGTGGAGCCCTCGAACCCAACCACTACACCACTGGCCGGCCCCCTTACCATTCTTTTATTCATTCAGTAAATATTTACTGAGAGCTTACCATATTGCCAGGCATTAGGGACAAACTAGGGGGCAAAACCAGATATGATCCCTGCCCTCAGGAATCTCAAAATCAATTGGAGGGCTGGCCCAGTGGCATAGTAGTTAAGTTTGCACGCTCCACTTTCGTGGCCCGGAGCTCATGGGTTCGGATCCAAGGCATGGACCTACACACCACTCCTCAAGCCATGCTGTGGCAGCAACCCACATAAAAAATAGAGGAAGACTGGCACAGATGTTAGCTCAGGGACAATCCTCCTCAAGCAAAAAGAGGAAGACTGGCACAGATGTTAGTTCAGGGCCAATCTTCCTCACCAAAACAATAAATAAATAAATAATCAATTGGAGATACCAATCCAAATCTTGCAAAACTCCTGAGAAACAGCAAACTGCAAATTAAGAAACAAAACTGCAAAAACTAATTAAGAAATTAGCAGTGATTATTCACATTGCCAGAATCTTTTTTCCAAATGATTTGTAGTCAATCGTTCTTGACTCATTTTTCTCACACCCCACATCTGATCCATCAGTAAATCCTCTGCCTTGACACACATCCAAGGGGGGACCACTTACAACCTCCATCACTAATGAAGTGGTCTCAGGCACCATCTTCTCTCACCTGGTCTCTCAAAGATGTCTGTCATAATTCCCAAAACCTGTGAGTATTTTATTTTACGTAGTAAAAAGGACTTTACAGCTGTGATTAAATTAAGACCCTTGAGATGAAGAGATTACCCTGGATTATCTGGGTGGACCCAATATAATCACAAGTGTCTTTTTAAGAGGGAGACAAGAGTGTCAGAAAGTGAGAGAGAAAGACAGGGATTTGAAGATGCTATGCTGGCTTTGAAGATGAAGGAAGGGGTCAGGAGCCAAGGAATGCAGGTGGCCTCTAGAAGCTGGAAAAGGCAAGGAAATGGATTCTCCCCTACTGCCTCTAAAGGAACACAGCACTACCGACAACCTGATTTCGGCCTAGTGAGATTTCTGACGTACAGAACTATAAGACAATAAACTTGTATTGTTTTAAGCCAGTAAATTTGCTGTAACTTGGTACAGTAGCAAAAGGAAACACAACCTCCTCACTAGTCTCTCTGCTTCCACTTTTTCCCTTCTAGCCTCAAAGCTGCAATCCATATGATCCGTTAAAATGTTAAGCCGCACGAAGTCACCCTTCTGCTCAAACTCTTTCCATTGTTTCCAATCTCAGGCAGTTTGAAAACCCCAAGTCCTCATAAGAACCTTCACCTCTCTGACGTCACCTGCTAGTTTCCCCTATGGTTGATTCCAGTCACAATGCCTCCTTGCTGTTCCTCTATCAATCCAGGCATATTCCAGCCTTGGCTCGTTTCCCCCTGGCTGACCCCACTTCTCCAAGGCTCCCATCCTTCATGTCCTTTCTCAAATGCTACTTCTCAAGGAGACTTACCCTGAACATTCCGTCCAAAATTTCGACCCCCCCAGCCCAACACTCCCTATCCCTACTCTCCTCTTACTATCTCTCCTTAGCACTTACCGCCGAACATACTATCTTACGCCCGTTTCCAAGAAAGCTAGAATTTCTGCACTGACCACTGCTGCATCCTCAACAGCTGGAACACTGCCTGGCACATATCAGGCACTTCATAAAGATTTGTTGAATGACTCAATCAACCATGTGAGGTCTCTTACAATGGTAAAGCTGCGATTAAAAAAAAAAGAGGAAAATTGGAAAGGGGAAAAAACAACCAAAACCACTAATGATTTAGAAGGTAAACATGATTCTCTGAAACCTTGGCCACACTTAAACTTAGAATTCGTTAAGAGAATTAAACCACATGATTGTACCAAAAATGAAAATATTCTGCAGACGCAAAAAAGCTAGTAAACTATTTTTCGACAAGGAACGCAACACAAAATGCCTGCATTTTCTCGGTATTTCTTCCCGAAACATTCGCACCTGCCAACCAGGTCTTGGCAAATAAATATTTTGCTTTTCTAAAGAACTGTGGTTCTGACGTACCAAATCCGTACGCAGGAAAGGCACGGAAATAGCCGACTAGCCGCCCGCGCTCCCCCTCCCCCCGGACCTCTTTTAGGGGAAAATCCCTCGGAGTTGGGGCCTGCGGGCGGTAAAGCCAAATTGACCCGGGGGGCACGGGACGCGGGCCCCCACCCGCGAAGCCCCCGCACCACGAACGCCTTATCTGGCGGCCCGGGCAGCGTCGCGGGGGTCTGTCAGAGCCACCCCGGGGCCCCAGAGTTCTGCGCCAGGCTGTGGGGAAAAGAGGGACCGCGGGCACCCGGGATCCCCCAGTGAAGCCTCAGGTGATGAGCCCGCATCGGTGAAGCGAACCCTACACTCACGACACAGACCTGTACGCCTCTGCAGACACCGAGGATAGCGGCGAGCCTCGGCCACTGGAGCCCCACCCCCCAACTTGCCTCCTCCGGGCGGCGGGGCTGTCCACGACGCTCACTAGCTGAGGCCTCCCCACGGACTCACGCCTTTTGGGTTACCCCTGCCTCTCAAACTCGAACCCTGAGGCGCAGGGGGCGGAACAATAGAGGAGGCTGCGCCCAATCTCGGCCGAACACCGCCCACCAGGCTCTCTGCCGGAACTACATGTCCCATGAGGCTCTGGGCGGCCGCAACTTTCCACCGGAAAGAGGCTCGCTGAAGTGGGGGAGGAGCCCAAAAGGAATTGTGGGAGAAAGGCTTTTTCCTTTCCGTCTGGCGGCAGCCATCAGGTAGGCTGTGTTGGGGAAATTGGCTACTCCATCCGCCGCTGATCTCCCTTCCCCTCGGCCATCCAGGCTCGGGGGCCCTACGTCCTCGGAGCTTCTCCTGCCTTCTGTGCGACGCGAGTTCGATCAGGATGTGGGGCAGCGCGGACGTGGAGAGGCGGCCCCCGGGGCGGGATGGGGGGGATGTTGTGATGGCGGCGCGAATTCGAGCTGGGCCTGGAGCGTGAAGGAGAGGGAGGCATGGGGCTGAGGGATGGGACCGGGCCTAGGGCGTCGTAAAGCGAGGCCGGTGGGTTAGGTAGAGCGACTGCTTTTTCCTCGAGAGCTGACTTGGCGGCGGCGCCTTCCCCTGTGGTGTCGGCGAGGTCCCTGCAGGCCGGGCCCTGGGGGACGCCGCTTGCCGCAGTCATCCGCCCCCTCAGTGCCCAAGTCGAGCTCCATTCATTCGTTCAGCAGGAATGTGCCGAAGGTCTGCCTGCCCGCTGCGGTCGCAGAGGTGGGGTTGGAGCTGGCTCTCCCTTGTGGTTCGTGCAGAGCCATTTTCATCCTCAGTGGTTGGTGGGGAACTAAGATGGACGGACGGACTCTTCTCGTTAGACGTAAAATGGATGATATTTTTTAATATGCAGGTTTATCTCAAAGGTAAGCCGAGATGGGCGCTTACAAGTACATCCAGGAGCTATGGAGGAAGAAGCAGTCGGATGTGATGCGCTTTCTGCTCAGGGTGCGCTGCTGGCAGTACCGCCAGCTGTCTGCTCTCCACAGGGCCCCCCGCCCCACCCGGCCCGATAAAGCGCGCAGACTGGGATACAAGGCCAAGCAAGGTCAGTGGTGTCTGCGTGGATGCCTGGATGAAATTATATTCCGCGGGAAAAGCTGGGAACCGGTGACTAGGAAAACATGCCATCGCCCCGTGTCTTCCTTCATGTAGGGCTTTGGGAGAAACTGTCTTCGGCTGCAACGCATAGAAGTTGTTGGCCCGTGAATTACCGTGCACACAAGTGTCTAAAGTAGCAAGTGTGTCATAGATTACAAACCTGTGTGAGTCTGGACCAAACCACCAGAACAGTGTAGAGTGGGAATAGAAATTAATCCACAGCTGTGTGATTAACATGAAGCCAGTCAAACTGGTATTAGTTTTATGTCTATCAGATACATAGTATTGGACTTGTCGCAAATGTAACGGTGTTGGGGCGTAAGTGACAAGTCATTGGCTCTTCCACCCTTCCGGCTTTTGTAAGACGGCTGTGAATTTTTTCGTATAGGTTATGTCATATATCGCATTCGTGTGCGCCGTGGTGGCCGCAAACGCCCAGTTCCTAAGGGTGCGACCTACGGCAAGCCCGTCCATCATGGTGTTAACCAGCTCAAGTTTGCCCGAAGCCTTCAGTCTGTTGCCGAGGTGAGTGGTTTTTGAGGAGGAGTATTGGCACCTCCTGGAGATGGTGGAGGAGGATTTCGGCAACTTTTCTGATTGTTTATTTGTAGACAGGTGAGCCCTATTGTGTTTAAAATGGGCTTTGTGGTTTTTACTAATCTTGGTAGAGAGTTGATGTCAGAGACTCTGTCTCTTTGTTACTGATTTAATCTGTCTTTGCTCACATATACTGCAAAGGGTGCTTTATGATTAGTGTGGACCTGTGGAACCTAAGCTTTTGAAGGGCAGCAAACTTTGTCTTGAAGAGCACATCTCCCCAGGTGTATAGAAGCTGTGCATTTATTTGTATTGCTTATTTTCTGTGGTCAGTTGTAAGTTTTCCTTCTGGGTTAGTAAATTAAGCTGTGCTCTGTTGTAGAGGTTAGCAAACAAGGGCCCGTTGCCTTCCATGAGCTAAAAATGTTTTTGTGTTTAAAAGACGACAAAGAGACCATTGTGGCCTGCAAAGCCTAAAATAATATGCTAAATATTAAAGTTTTCTGTAAAAGTGTGGTGACTTCTTTATTGTATTAGGAAAAGGTTCCAGAATCCTAAATTTTAACATTTATGCCTTAGGAAGTGGGGTAATAAGAGGAAATGATCTCAGATCAATCCAAGGATATTTATATATGTTGTTTTACTTAACTAAGTCTGCCTTATCATACTTATGGTCTCAGCCTCTGGGGAGATGCTTAGTAAATATTTGAGCAGCTTAGTGAAAGGCCTCCGTCTCACCTGATGGTGAACTAAAGAGAATTATTGCATCCTAAATTGATACTATGGGAAATGTGGGAGGCTGACTTTGGGCCTTTTTTCCTATTCTAGGAGCGAGCTGGACGCCACTGTGGGGCTCTGAGAGTCCTGAATTCTTACTGGGTTGGAGAAGATTCCACGTACAAATTCTTTGAGGTTATCCTCATTGATCCATTCCATAAAGCTATCAGAAGAAATCCTGACACCCAGTGGATCACCAAACCAGTCCACAAGCACAGGGAAATGAGAGGGCTGACGTCTGCAGGCCGTAAGAGCCGTGGCCTTGGAAAGGGCCACAAGTTCCACCACACTATTGGTGGGTCTCGCCGTGCAGCTTGGAGAAGGCGCAATACTCTCCAGCTTCACCGTTACCGCTAATATAAGTAATGTTTGTAAAATTCTTACCTAATAAACAATTTAGGACAGTCACGTCTGCTTAAAAGTGTTCTTTAATTTGTCTTGTTAAAACTAGTTGTCTGCAGTTTGTTTCATGAATGCATTGTCAAATTATGAAAGTTAAAGTGCAATAATGTTTGAAGATTATAAGTGATGGTGTATCTTATTTCTAATAAGATAAATGCCTTTGTCTTTGCTTTATCTTATTAGGGAGTTTATATGTCAGTGCTTAAATGCTGTTTGGTATAATAGGTGTAAAATAAATTCTGTAAAAGTGCAGAAACTAGCCATGTAGATTTGTTGGTGCATGTGATGAAACCTACAGCTTTATTGGGGTGATGCAATGCTCTGCTGGATTACTCTCAACTGGCTGTTTTTGGAGTTTGGCAAGGACAAACTTTTTAAATGGATTTTGCTTGGAAATGTAAAGGATATCCTGATTCTCTATGATCATATGCAGAAAAATAATGAAAGTTGACTAGGGCCCACGTTTTGAGATTTAATATTCCATCTGTGTAACTGCTGCTTCTGAAAGGAGAAAAGTTTAAAAGAATGCCACCATTTTTAGGAGAACTGAATAAACCTGTTGCAAGAGGCTGCTCTTAAAAATGAAACAAATCCTGGTTAATCTAAACAAAATTGCCTTGGTCTCCACAGTACAATTGAAGTTCACGTAAAAGGTGGAGGCTCCTGTTTAAATCCCATGACTCAGATTTGTAGAATTAAAGTCAGCTTTGATCAAAATTTGAAATGCTTCATCTGTAGTGCTAGTATGTGACCATTATGAATCCTCTAGCCACCCTAGGGGAAAAAATATGGTTGGCTTTATTTAAAAAGTACATCCTTGCTGAGTCCAATCAGTCCTGCAAGCTATCTGGAGTCAACCCACTTGGTTCATTCCCATAAGGCTACTGAGAAAAGTCATATAATTGGTGTCAGTACAAGTTCACGGTTTCCAATCTAACCTTGATGTGCTTACAGTTATTCTCATCCTTGCTCAAACTCCTCAAAATCCTTACCGTTCCACAAACTTGCCAGGCCACCAATTGTGCCCAACTTAACTCGAAGCATACCACCACATTCTGCTTGCATCATGTCTTTTAGTAGACTGGGCTTCTCTTTCCCAGGGTGAATTTGAGTGTATAGGAAATAGAGAAGAGGAATTGCCCCAGTTCTTTCCAATTCTGGGTTTGCTGACTTAAGAACAGGCAGTTTGATTTCAAAATTTAATTGCTGGTTTTCTTAAACCAATTTTTCTCCTATTCAGGGGTCTTAAAAGGCTCAGTTGAATGATTTCTAGAAAATGTGTAGCAGGCTCATAAAACAGCTTGAGACCTAAATTCCTCTCCATTCAAAAAAAAAAAATTTTGTGTGTAGAGGGTTGTTCAACTAAAGTAATAAATATCTATTAAACTAAAACAAATGGACCTGTTATCTTTTGTCATCTAATACTAATGTGCTTTAAAGCAAGCCAAATACCCTAACCTGTGAAAACATATTAAAACATGATGGCAGAAACAATCAACAGTTTCAGGAAAAAGAATATATATAGTACTTAGTCTTGAGAGTTTTTCTCTCTCGGTTTTTTTGGTCCTTGCATGAATTAGAAAAACTCGTTTGAAAGTTTTCTTCAGGGGCTGGCCCATTGGTGTAGGGCTTAGGTTAACACGCTCCGCTTCGGTGACCCGGTGTTCACAGGTTCAGATCGTGGGTGCCCACCAACGCGCTGCTTGTCAAGCCATGCTGTGGTGGCATCCTATATAAAGTAAAGGAAGATGGGCACAGATGTTAGCCCAAGGCCAATCTTCCTCAGCAAAAAGAAGAGGATTGGCAATGGATGTTAGCTCAGGGCTAATCTTCCTCACCAAAAAGTTTTCTTCAAACTATTCTGGATGCCAATTTGGGAAGAGGCGGGAGAGTTCAGGCCAAAAGTCGGCATTACCTATCAATAAAGGCTTGCTCCTTCCTATCCTTGCTACCCTACAGTTTTGTCTCCACATGGCAACTGGGATTCTGTCAAGTCTTTTGTCATGCCTCTGCTGGAAACTAAAGTCATCAGAAATAGCTTCCATGATCTTCCCACTCTCCTACCATGTGACCTCGTG